AATTTTATTTATTATAATTGAATATTAATTAATTATATATAAAAAACAAAAAAATTTATAATTTAATATTAATTGGTGAGGAATGAAAATTCCATAAAAAACGAAAATAAAAAGCAAAATTTATTCTCCCGTCAAAATTTCCCGCAGGGACGAGAAGTCCTTTCCCACCCCCACGAGATCCGTTGACATCCCTAAATTCAAGAAAAGTTTACTCGCTACATATGTAAAAAAATTCATCACTCACGTTCTCCGTTACGTCCCTTTCCCCTTTGCCAAAGGTGGTGTTAAGAAATGTATCTCTGACCCTTGCCCTCGGAATACGAGATTTGAAATATGACACTTCATACCATTCTTTCTTTGGAATCTTTCCTTGTTTTTTTTAATTTTATTGGAAATTTCTCACCAACTCCTCCAAGTTGACAAAAGAAATACTAGTAAATGCTATCTCCTAAGCGCCTACTTGTTATATATATATATATATATATATATAACTTTTCTGAGGGAAAAAGATAATTAATTTTGATTAATAACATTATTATTATATTTTGTTAGACTTTGGTTGACCCAACTACAAATGGCAAGCAGCAGGCATGAACATGACACATATCAAACTTTATTTCTTAATACATAGGCTGAATTTGTTCCAGCAACAACTGGCAATCCTTTATCTGTACCATGTCATGCATGAATTAAATTATTACCCTGTCATGGCCAAAAAAAGAAAAAAAGAAAAAGAAAAAGAAAAATCACACTTTTGATTTAATTTTTTTTTTATTTTGGTTTGAACAATTATAACGTTTGTGAGTGAATTTTTGTGTATTTTAAAATTAATTTTTTTTTATTTTTATATATTTTAAAAAATATTTTTTAATACTAATTTTAAAACTTAAATTATGCACTCGTCACATAATATGATAGTTATTTATTATTAAATCTATATTAAATCTAACACATGAATTATTAGTGTCTAATCCACATTGTTTGGTTACCAAGAAAAGGATTAAGAAGAAACTTGGAGTTTGTTTAGTTGGTCACTTTTTCAAAAAAGGGAATTCACGATAGTCGACTAAAAATTTATTTGGCTTGGCTTAGGATGTCACTTTCTTAGCATGTAGATTGACATATAATATAATTGGTTATAGAAGGAAATGTAATGCATTATAATCACATGTTCTCTAAAAAGTTTTAAACACGTAGGTTGAGATATAATATTATTATTTATTATTATTATTATTTTAAAGGGTAATGGTTAGGAAGTTAGTGTGAGTTAGTTGTTAATAACTGAGATTTTCAGAATGGTGAATATTTCACTCTCTCAAATGAGACGCGCGACCATTAAGTCGCAAATTGGTGAAGTTCACAGCGGTGACAGAACTCGAAACCCTGACCTCCACCTCACATAAACCCTAAGGCCTGGGCGAACCATATTATTATTATTTTTTATAGAAAAAGTGTAATGCATTGTATTCACCTTTTTAAAAAGTTTCTTTTTAAAGAAAGTGGATATAATTGATTATAAAAAAAAATAAATTATATTAATATAATTACTTATTTTTAAAACTAATTAATTCTATTATAAATATAATCTATTATCTTTTTTTTTATAACTAATTATATTGTGTTTTGATTTATGTATCAAAAAAATTAATATCCTAAACTAAACTAATTAAATTTTTAATCGAATTCTTCAAATTCTTTTAAAAAGAAGTGAGCAACCAAATAGGTTTTAAAGCTCTCTTTCCTCAAGAAAATTTGAAAAGCAGAGCTCAATCAAAGTCGAGATCGTTTCCTAATTTTTACTACTGTTACTGTATCAAAACTGGTATTATGCCCCTAATTTTTTACAATCCTCAAAGGCTCAAACTAACAACATTAGTAACAGTGTTGTGATGGGATGAACCATGAAGAACAGAAAGCAAGCTATTGGCCCCATAACAAAGGCGGCAAAACATGCAAATCACCCCCTTAACTCATCCATTGGTGGCACATCACCCCCTCAACCTACTTCACGCGCAAACCAACCCCTCAACTCACTTGCAGTGGCAAATCACCCCCTCTTGTAACGCCGACATCATCCTTCCATTAATTTTTAACGGTCCATTCCCCCACCCTTTTTTTGCTGAGATGGAGGCGCCACCTAGAGAAATACCTCAAAATCATTAGATCAAACAAAATTACTTTTATACCCTTAAATTCTAGGTAAATAAAATTGGGGATCTGAGGATTTATCTCTGCCAGCTTCTATCGTCTCCTTTCAAAAATTGATCTCAATGTTACAAAGTACAGGAAAAGATGCACGCCGTGTGAAGAGACAGCAGAAACCCATGATTTCAGAAATGTAAGCAACCTAAATACCACCAAACGCAACAAAAAAATAAAATTCCCATCTGCCCATCTCCTAATCTTCCTAAACAGAAGCAACCCCTCAACGCCCACAAAAAATCCGAGCCAAACCCACAAAACCCATCAATAGAAAGCACCTATTTCACCTAAAGAAGTTAAGAGTTGTGATTGAAGTAGAAATAAGACGAATTTCTCTGGTGAAACAAGGACCATGAAAATTAAAAATGCTTACTTTTTGAGAATTTTTGAGTCTCGGGGAAAAATCTGGGCAGGGTATTGGTTGTTGCTGCTGTCGAATCTTGAAGAATAGAATGTATGGACTGGATTCCTAGGAAAAGTAAGACTTGTTTTTGCTCTGTTATCTTCGCCGGAAACGACTGCGGCCTCTCCAACCTAAATTTCTTTTGGCTTGGTAATTAAAAAATTGAGGGTAATTAAAAACAGTTTTGAAAATTCCTTGGTTTTAATTACGAAGTATATTTTTTCGAAAATATCTTCTGACTTCCCCTCTGGAG